CCCTCACAACAGAAGGATGCTTCCCAACTGGAAATCAGATCAGGGCCCTTCCCTGCTCAAAACCCTCCAAAGACTTCCCAACCCACTTGAGATAAAATTCAAATGTATGGTCGTGGGCTCTGAGGCTAAGCTTGCTCTGGTCACCAGCCATCTCTCCAACGGCATCTTCTACTACTTTCTCTCCTCTCTGCTCACTCCAGCCCCACTACTAACCTTCTCCCTCCTTCCTGCCTCCACGCATTTGAATGTACAGTTCTCTGTGCTAGCTATGCCGCTCCCTAGCTCTTTGAGAGCCTCGCTCCCTCATTTCTTGCTGATCTGCTGGCTCAGATGGTGCCTCGTCCAAGAGGCCTTCCTTGACTCCCCTATCTCATCGTCATTTCTTATCTCTTAACCTGCCTTTTCTTCATATCACTTACCACACTCAAAATTATACATGTTGTATCATGCCTGGGTTATTTTTGATTGTCTCTCACCCCCATTATAATGGAAGCTCCTTGAGAACTGCGCCTAGGGCTGATGCCTAGAAAAATGTCTGGTATGTAGTAGGTGCTTGAGAAACATGTGTGAAATGACTAATGCTAAATGAATTAATGGGGAATGAAAGGAAAAAGAATCAGAGATAATAAGGGATAATCAGGGATAATAAGAAAACAAATAATTAGGTGATAGACCTAAATCCAACCATATCAATAATTACATGAAATGGTGACAGTAATTACATTAAATGTTGATGGTCTAAGTACTCAATTAAAAGGCAGAGACTGACTGAGTGGATAAAAGAGTAAAACTCTATTAAATGTTGCCTATAAAAGACCACTTTAAACATAAAGACATAAATAAGTTGAAAGTAAATGAAGGAAAAAACATATGCCCATAGACAGTAAGCATAAGAAGGCTAGTGTGGCTATTTTATTTTACTTCATTCCCCCCCCCAGTTTTATTGAGATATAATTGACATATAATGTGGCTATTTTAATACCAGGTAAAGGAAACTTCAAAACAAAGATTATCACCAGAGATAAAGACATCTCATAATGATACTAGGGGCAATTCATCAGGAAGATATAACCACAAATGTGTATCTACCTAATAAACAGAGTCCCAAAATACCGGAAGCAAAAATTGACAGAATTAAAGAATGAAACAGACAATTCCACAGTTATAGTAGGAGAGATTAACATCTTCTCTCAGCAATTGATAGAACAACTAGACAAAAATGCAGAAAAGACATAGATCTAAGCAACACTACCACCCCTCTTGACCTAACTGACATCTACAGAGCACTCCACCCAACAACAGAATACACATTCTTTTTTTTTCTTTTTCTTTTTCTTTTTTTTACATTCTTTTAAAGGTTCATGTAACATACATTCAGACCACACGATGGGCTTTCAAACAAGTCTCAATACATTCAAAGGGATAAAAGTCATAGATTGTATTCTCTGACCATAACAAAATTAAACTAGAAATCAGTAACTGTGAATATTTTCACAGAAACTCCAAATATCTGGAAATTCACAGGTCAAACCAAAACAGGGGAAATTAAAAATATTTATAATTGAATGATAATAAAAATATGGTAAGTATGTTGGATGCAGTGTTTGGTGGGAAACTGACAGCAGTAAATGCTTCTATTAGAAAAGAAGATCTAAAATCAATGACACAGGGTTTCACCCTAAGAAAGTAGAAAGACATATACACACTGCTATATATAAAATAGATCACTAATAAGGACCTACTGTACAGCACAGGGAACTGTACTCAGTACTCTGTAATGACCTATATGGGAAAAGAATCTAAAAAAGAGTGGATATATGTATAACTGACTCACTTTGCTGTACAGCAGAAAATAACAAAACATTGTAAAGCAACTATACTCTAATAATAATTTTTTTTAAAAAAAGGAAAACTAAGTAAGAAACCCAGTGAGCAGTCCCCCTCTCCCTCCGCTCAGGGAGCCCACTGACGAAAGCTCTCGCTTTCCACCGCTTTGTAATGAGTTTTCGGCGGGGGGGGGGGGGGGGGGGGGGGGGGTGGACAGTGGGAAGAGGGGCGCTAGTGAGCTCCACTTTCTGAAATAAAAATGGATGCTTAGGGGCATCCCTGGTGGTGCAGTGGTTGAGAGTCCACCTGCCGATGCAGGGGACACGGGTTCGTGCCCCAGTCCGGGAAGATCCCACA